CTATTGGGACCTCATCAAAATAAAAAGCTTCTGCACAGCAAAGGAAATAATCAGCAAAACTAAAAGGCAACCGACGGAATGGGAGAAGATATTTGCAAATGACATAGCAGATAAAGGGTTAGTATCCAAAATCTGTAAGGAACTTATCAAACTCAACACCCAAAAAGCAAATAATCCAGTGAAGAAATGGGCAAAAGACATGGACAATTTTCCAAAGAAGACATCCAGATGGCCGACAGACACATGAAACCATACTCTACGTCACTCATCAATCATCAGGGAAATACAAATCAAAACCACAATGAGATACCACCTCACACCCATCAGAATGGCTTAACGTTAACAACTCAGGCAACAACAGATGTTGTCAAGGATGCAGAGAAAAAGGATCTCTTTGGCACTGCTGGTGGGAACGCAAATTGGTGTAGCCACTCTGGAAAACAGTATGGAGGTTCCTCAAAAAATTAAAAATAGAACTACCCTACGACCCAGCAATTGTACTACTAGGTATTTATCCAAGGGATACAGGTGTGCTGTTTTGAAGGGGCACATGCACCCCAATTTTTATAGTGGCACTATCAACAATAACCAAAGTATGGAAAGAGCCCAAACGTCCATTGACACATTAATGGATAAAGAAGATGTGTTGGGGCGCCTGGGTGGCTTAGTCGGTTAAGCGTCCGACTTTCGCTTGGGTCATGATCTCGCGGTTCGTGGGTTCGAGCCCCGCGTCGGGCTCTGTGCTGACTGCCAGCTCAGAGCCTGAAGCCTGTTTCAGTCTGGGACTCCCTCTCTCTCTGACCCTCCCCTGCTCACGCTGTCTGTCTGTCTCTCTCTCTCTCCCTCCTAGAAATAAAAAAAAAAAAAAAACAAAAAAAAACATTAAAAAAAAAAAAAAGAAGATGTGGTACATGTATACAATGGAGTATTACATAAGGATAAAATTGGAACTCCTTATTGTGGTCTATAAGATCCACCTACTTTTCATCTCTTAGGACTTCTACTTCTCATCTAGCCCAGCTACTTCTCATCTCTTAGGACTCTGTCTTCCATTCATACCTTTCAGCCCCACTGGCCTTTCAATTCTTCCAATTAGTCATGCCATTTCCACTTCCAAGTCTTTGTTTTTGTCACACCTGTTGCTGCTACCTTATTCCCTTAGATCTTCTCGTAACAAATCTATTGTCATTTTTTTCTCAGATCAAACATTAACTCTTCAGAGAGAAGCCTTCTTTGAAAACACAATCTAATGTTCCCAAGTCCACCCAAGTTACTATTACATTGCTCACTTATTTCTCGGTTGTTTATTACTTATATTTCCCCAACAGAATGTCAGCTCATTGTTAACTTGTTTACTTATGGTCCCTAGGGTCTGAGTATGTGCTCAATAAGTATTTATTGAAAGAATGAATCACAACCAAAGAAAAAAATAAAAGCCATGACAGCTCATAGAATTTGGTTACCAAATCAGGAAAGACCAAAAGAACAAAAATGCCTATTTTTCTTTTCTAACACTCTGTATATCATCTGACATTACATTTATGTGACTGTTTATTGTTTGTCTCTCCCTGACTAAAATAGAACCTCCACAAGGGCAGGGACTTGTTCATAGCTGTATTCTTAGCACCTACAAGTGCCTTGCATATGATAGGTGTTCAGTAACTATTTACCAAACAAATGGACAATATCTAGGGGTGACTGAATGGTGGAGAAAAGGGTATGGTGAGAATATAATTGGTGCACAATTTCTGTAGGAAATTTGGCAATATATATCAAAAGCTCTCAAAGGGGACATACCTTTTGACTTCACACTCTCACTTCTAAGAGGAACTCATCCTCAACAGAAGCAAATGAACAAGGGTACAAAGATGATTTATGGGGGACTTTACACTGGGTTGTTTATGACAGAGAAGATTTATAAATGTCAGCATGATATCCATTAATAGGAGATCACAAATAGTATTATAAATCTGTACAATGAAACATATTAAAATATTGGGGAAACATCTATTTATTGGTGCAGCAAAAGATAAAAAGTGTATTAAGAGAAAAAGGTGGGGCACCTGGGTGACTCAGTCAATTAAGCATCTGACTGTTGATTTTGGCTCAGGTATTATCTCATGGTTTGTGAGCTCAAGCCCCGTGTTGCTTTGGATTCTCTTCCTTAAATAATAAATAGAAAAAGGCAAGCTAAAAAAAAAAAAAAAAACCCACATGTATAGTGAAATTTCATTTTTGCAAAAACATGTATGGGGAAGACACGTGGGTATGTATGAATGCACACTAGCATTTACAGATAAAAGTCTGGATGGACATACTTCAAAATGTCAACACTGGTTATTTCTGCATGGTGAGATTAAGGGCAATTTTAATTTTCTTCTACATACATTTCTAAATTTCTTGTAATTAGGTCAACATTCTGCTTTTGTAAGTGGGCCACAAAAAGAAGTATTATGGAAAACACAGCCCCACTTCATAAACTTAATGAAGTCTAAAGCCCAGATTAAGAACCTGGGGTTCAGAAATGTCAGCTACAGTATTGGAGGATGGTTTTCCAATTTCCTGAATTAAGCAAGTTGTTTCCCTTCAGTCAATATTTGTATAAATAAATAAAAACCGGTTTCTTTTATTTCATTGCCTGCCAAGCTTGAGGTGGTCAGGCCTGGTTGAGAAATAACACAAAGTGTAGCAAAAGCTGTCATTTATGCTGGGCATTTTCCTTGTGTTGCCTCATTAAAAACTCCTAAGGGTCCTGTCAGGTAGGTATCAACGTTCTCAAGTGCAAAAGCCGAGAGAGGGGACAGAATATGCCAAAGCTCGCAATGCTGCTAGGCCTGCGATCCTGATTTGAACAGAGGGTCTCTCTGACCTCAGGGTCTTCAGAGGAAAGCTTGAGAAAAGCACTTTAGGCTTTAACCTTGCAAGTCTCTTAATGCGTCTTATCTTTTACAGGGTTATCCTAATGCCCCATTTAATTTGCAAGAACAATGAATGGTGGACAGCATGGAGTTTTTAAGGAAAATGGGAGTAAATATATGGAGAAGTGAGATTTACATTGGGTACTACTCTGTGCTGTTTGCCCTTCATTTCTCTTCAAAAGGCTCAAGATGAAAATGCTTGGTTGGGTGGTCACGGGGGAGGGGAGCAGTTTGAGAGAGAGAGAGAGAGAGAGAGTGTGTGTGTGTGTAGGGCCACAGGTGACACCAGACTGGGATAAGGATGCCATCTGTGCACTTAAAGAAGGGGACTGGATAAAGATGAGGGAAGATGGACAACACTGGGAGGAAAGGGGGCTCGAGGTGCAGCGGGAAAGAGGAAGGACTAGAAGGAAAGGCAGCTGTGAGTTATTCTGAGGTACTATTTCCTTTCACCTTTTTTCTCCCTCTTGTCTTTTCCTTGCTCATCTCAGTCACAATTAGGCGTTCAGCACTCTTTTCCACTCGGGTAATTACCAAATCTCTCCAGTCCTGACTTTTCTCCAGGACTCAACTCCTCCTGAGGTCCAAACTGAATGCAGCCTCCCTTCCACCTCAAGCCTGCTTCTACTTTTGTACTCGCTCACTCATCAAACATCCACGGAACTGCTCTTTCTCCTCGCTTCCTTCAACCATCCTTTGGTCCAACAAACATTTACTGTGGATCTAGGACCTACCCACCGCCACAGCAACGGGGATAGCTATTCACTTACCAGGTGGTTCACTTCTACCTTGAAAATCTGTCTGTCCATCTCATCTCAATTCTTTACTGAGATTTACTTAAAATCCTTCATGCTTGAACCCGGGCCTCACAGGACCACACGTTCATTGGCTTTGCATGACATTCATTCTGTAAGGACCGCTTGGCATTTAGCACTGCCCCTGGGACACAGAAGGCGCTGGCCGCGGCGGTTTAGGGACTACAAACTGGCTGGGATTGGAGAAGCTACAGATTTGCCTTGAAGGAGTATTTGCATATGAAGAAAGGTGTCCTCCTTAAGCTGGAGGTTACAGACCTATACAAATAGTACCAGCCAGAGAATTCTTTTATTTCTGGGGTGTGGCCATAGGAAGCTGGGAAGACTGCTGCAAGTCTGATGCCAAAGGTCTTCTGATAGAAAGGCTGCCCACCTCCCACCCCTTGAGGACTCAGTAGTCGCTTGTTGAATATAGCACCTTCTAGGAGAGGGACCACGGATGTTGTGTTCTCCACTGTATCCCCAGCGCTTAGCACATCTAGTCCACATTAGGGGTTCAGTAAACATCTGTGGAGGATTCTAGAAAGGCAGGGACCATAGATATTTCATTCGCCACCTCAGGACGAAGGACAAAGACTAAGGAGCCTGAAAGAAAAAGAGAGCAAGACGTTTCCCTCCCTATTCCTTTGGCGCTCGGTAAATGTTTGCTAAGCGAAAAAAGTCACCCTCCTGCACTACTCAAAACCGGGCCCCTCGCTCGGCTGCCAGGCCCTGGAGCGCGGCCACCATCTGGCTCAGGCCCGCGCTTCCCTCCCTCCCAGCCCGGGCTCCTGTTACCTCCCTGCACACATCTGTACCCACCACAGGCCCAACAATTACACGCTCCCGCGTCCCGGCCTCAAGATCACGGACTGCCCGCAGGCCCGCGTCCCCTCAGCCCCCCGCCCCCCACCCGCGCTCCGGGAAAGCCGGCGGCCGGGCCTCAGACCACCGCTTGCAGCCGGCTCCCGCAACCCCCGCCGCAGGCGCGCCAGGCCGCCGTCCATGTGCTCGGCCGCCGTCGCCAGCCCCGGCCTGCTGAAGGTGCAGCGCGGAGCCCGGGAGGCCCGGCGGCCGCGGCCCGGGCTCGTCGCGCTCCTCGGGACTGGAGAGGCCGGCCAGCGGCGAGGCGGGAAGCGGCTGCAGCTGTGAGGCGCCAGAAGGGCGGGAGGCGGCGGCACGGGGGGGGCACAGCGGGCCGAGTCAGGGGGTGCGAAGACGCGGAGCCCGAGCGGGGGCGGCGCTCCGGCCTCGGCGGGGCTTGGAGAGCGGCGGCTCGCTCACTCACCACGGTCCGGCGGGGCAGAGCGCCGGGGGTTCGGGACAGGGCCCGGCGGAGCCTCCGCGCCCTGCCCGAGCGGGCTCCCCCGGAGCTCTCGGAGCCGCTATCGTCCGAGATCACGATGAAGTCCTCCATGGCTGCGGGCCCCGGCCGAGGCGGCGCGTGGGCGGCCGGCAGCCCGGACGACGGCGGCGGCGGCGACTTCGGTTCCTGCTGCTGAGGCGGCGGCGGCGACGGCGACAACCGGAGCCATCACCCCGCCGGCCCCGCCCCTTCCCGCCCCGAGCCCCGCCCCCGCCGGCCCCGCCGGCCCCGCCGGCCGGCTCCGCCCCGCCCCCCCGGAGCCGGCCCCCCCCCCCCCCCCCCGGTGGCAAGCGGCTGGCAGCGGGTTGGTGAGAGCTCTGGGCCCTCGGGCGCTGAGCTTGGCGGAGAAACAAGTCTTCCCTTCCTGGGGAGGAAAAAAAAAGAGAGAGAAAATCAAGTCGCAGCCAGCTTGGGCCAGTGTTGCAGGAGGGGGTGGGAAACGCTGAGCCTGCGAGGGCTTCCCCAGCTGTTTCCAACTGACCGAAGTGTGAAGTGAGGTGTGAACAGGCCTCTGATAGAGCCAGAGTCCACTGACTGCCCAGGAGAGCGGCCCTTGAGGACCTGGCCTCCGACAGACCGGGTGGAGGGTCGTCCACTGACTGAGGGTAGGTGGCCTGTGGCTGAGGGGGCAGAGACCACCACTGCTCCCTTGTGCACAGGTATCTGGGATAAATGCCTAGAAGTGGAATTACTGGGTCAAAGGTGATGTTTCTGCTGTTTTGCTAAATGATGCCAGATCACTCCTAAGTTGTACCAACTGGCAGTTTCACCAACAATCTGTGTCACTCAGGAATTTGGACTGTGAGTTAGAAACTTAGGCAGTTGGTAGCAGAGTCAGAAACTTGGGGAAATGTACAAAAGAGGAACCATGAGGTGGCTCATGCCAGGAAAATTGAAATGTTGTGAATGAGCAAAGTTATAAAGATAAAAAAAAGACCCTGTAGAGTGAGAAGTGGTAGGTAGCTGGTCGGTTGTAGGGCAGGGACAAGTCAAGATAGGTAGGATCTGTGTTATGGTAAATGTTGGGTATTGACAAAATCCTGTTGCTTGTGCTCCAGCAACTTGGTAATATGTGTTGACGGATCCAATGGGAAAATGTATTTCTCAGAAGAAGGATTGGTTTCCAAAGGAAGGTTCTCAGGTGCTACCTGATAAGCACTGTCTAGTGCACTGAGTCTCAAACTTTAGTGAGCATCACGATCACCAAGAAGACTTGTTCAAACACAGATTGTCGGGTCCCATCCTGGAGTTTGTAATTCTGGGGCACGAGGTATGAGGCTCTGAATTTGTATTTCTGAAAAGTTCCCAGGTGTTGTTGAGGCTGCTGGTCTGGGGGACCACATGTTGAAAACCACTGGTCTGGTGGGCCAGGAGTCTCCCATTGCCAATTCATTTCAGAAGTTCCAGTCGAATGGCCAAAATCATCTCACGTGTGAGGGGATTCATTAAGTTGTCTTCACCAGATGCCATTAAACACTTGTTTTTTTTAAACTCCCTGCTTCTTGAAACACTGTCTTCTCTAAGCTTCTGTACCTCTCTGACCACTTCTTTTCAGTCTCCTTACATAACTCCTGCTCTTCTACTCACTCCTTGAATCTTGATGTTCCTCAGTGTTCCGACAGAGGCCACCTTCACACACTTCTCCCTATACAATGTCAACGTGGCCTTTTAAAGATAACTTTTATGTGGATGACTCCCACAGGCTTATCTCCAGCCTTGTTTTATATATGTATAAAAATATACATATATATAGTATATATATATATCAATATACATATATAGTATATATATATGTACAAATGTATATTGAATCTCATAGGCATCTCAAGTTGAATATGCTTAAAACTGAACCCCTATCTCCTCAAAAAAAAAAAAAAAAGCCCGCTTCTTCTTCTTCTCTGTTCCCTGTTTCTCTGAGTGGTGGTACTACCAGATTTCTATCTCTTCCACACCAACAAGTCCTGTCTCTTTTATCTCTGGAATATATTTTGCACCCATTTGCTTCTTTTGGCCTCCTCTATGATCATTCTAGATGAGCTAAGGTCACCTCTGGCCCATTCTACTGTAGTAGTCACCTATTTAGTCTTCCTGAATCTATTATTATTTTTTTTTATTAAAAAATTTTTTAATGTTTTATTTATTTCTAGGAGAGAGAGAGAGAGAGAGACAGCATGAGCAGGGGAGGGTCAGAGAGAGAGGGAGTCACAGACTCTGAAACAGGCTCCAGGCTCTGAGCTGGAAGTCAGCACAGAGCCCGACACGGGGCTCGAACCCACGAACCGCGAGATCATGACCTAAGCGAAAGTTAGACGCTTAACCAACTAAGCCACCCAGGTGCCCCCTTCCTGAATCTGTTATTGCCCTCTTTCATTCCTTTTTCCACATCCAAAGGGATCTTTCAGAGAGTGTATTCAAGCCCCCGTTAGTGGCTTCCTAATAACATTATGTCTTAAGCTGCCATATTAACAAGATACCATGGCCTGGGTTACTTAAACAATAGAAATTTATTTTCTCACAGTTCTAAAGGCTGGGAAGTCCAAGGTTCCAAGGTTCCTAAAGAAGCCTCTCTCTTTAGGTTGCAGATTTCTTTTTATATTGTCACATGGTCCTTCCCCAGTGGGTGTATGCTGGGAAAGAGAGAGAGAGAGAGAGAGGGAAGGAGGGAGGAAAGTAAAGAGAGAAGGAGAGGAAGGGGGGAAAGAGAGGAAGGGAGGGAGAGAGGGAAAAGGAGAGAGAGGCAGAAGAGAGATTTCTTCCTCCTATAAGGCCACTAATCCCAGCATGAGGGTCCCATCTGCAGGTCTAATCTAACCGTCATTACCTCTCAAAGGCCCTATCTCCAAATACCATCACATTGGGGGCTAGAGTTTTAACATGAATTTTGGGGGAACACAAATATAGCACTATAAACTTTTAAATATAAAGATAAAAACATTTTTGTAAATTATATAAATGTTATATTTATATATAGTAAATATATGATTTCACTGTAAGTAATCCACCCCCAAAAAAAGAAATGGAAAAAATTTTGAACTCTGTGATATGCATGTTATAGTGTTAAGGGATGAAGTGTACTGGTGTCTGAAAGTTATTTTGAAATACATCAGAAATAAAATAGATGAATGTATAGATGGATAAATATGCATACAGCAAATATAACAAAATGTTAACATTGTCAAATCTTTATGATACTTTAACTTTTATGTAAATTTGAATGTTTTCATATTGAGAAAAAAATTTAAAATTAAGAAAGTGAATTATGATTCTACCATGATTTTAAAAAGTTAAAAAAAAAAAAGAAGAGTGAAGATGATAATGAACCCTGTGTACCCATCATCCAGCTTCAAGAATGATCAATCTTGTTCCACTTATATTCTCATCCACTCTGTTACAATACAGTGACACTTTTGAAACAATACTGAACAAGGTAGACATGGTCTCTGGTTTATGGTGATTATACTCTGTGGAGAAGACAGACAATAAACTAGTAAATAATTATAAATTATGACAAGTATATAACCAGTTTGAACAAACTAAACTTGTGAGATATAAAAATAAAACAATTTTATTGTTTCTCCAGTAACCATCACCACTGTCTCTAGAAATCCTCTTGTTCTCTAGATAGTGAATTCTCTTAAAAATGTTCTATTCTGGGGGCACCTGTGTGGCTCAGTCGGTTAAGCAACTCTTGATTTCAGCTCCGGTCATAATCTCATGGTTCGTGACATCGAGCCCTGCATCAGGCTCTGTGCTGACAGTGAGGAGCCTGGTTGGGATTCTCTGTCTCTCTCTGCCCCTCCCCTGTACATGCTCTCTCTTTCTCTCAGAATAAATAAACATTGAAATATTTCTTTAAAAAATATCCTATTCTGGTCCCATTCCAAGTATCATGATTTAGGCTTGCCCATTTAAAATCTTTAATCTCATATTTAATCCATAGCTCTTCCCATTCTCCTGGTGCAGGTGGACTCGTGGAGAGGATGGTAAGGTCCCCTTCTCTACCCTTGACTCTTGTTCCTCCTAAGTAGGAGTGAGGAAGACAGTGGGAGAATATTCTCTGTAAGACTGTCCAGGAAGAATTGTTTGTTCTTCTTCTGCTGTTTGTTGCTATTTGAATAACAGTTCTCCTGATGTTTTGGGAGTGCAGAGGCTCGCTCTCTTACTTGCACTGGGCACATGGTTGTTCTCTGGGGCCTGCTCTGTGTACATCCTAACCTAGAAGTCAGTCTCAGCCTCTTTCTCTCAGACATCTCCACCAGCCCTGCCTGGGGCAGGCTAACCTGTAGCCTTTTGTTTTGGGAGATCGTTGTCTGGAGAGGCTTCTGGGGGAGTGCCAGCAAGATCCTTAAGGCTCAGCCATCTTCTGTGCTCTCTAGGTGACTCACGCATGGAGATTTTGCAGCTTAAATCAAGCAGGAAAGAAAGGCAGGCAGCTCTCATCCTGATGGCCTTTATCTCAGCCCACCTTAGCTCTCTTCTTCCTTCCTTCACACCCAAGGGCATCCGGGCCTTGTTCAAGTCATGATTCAGTGACTTCTAGACAAGTTCTCAGCTTGGGGAACAGGAGGAGGAATGGTTTGCTGCACTTTGAACTTGTAGGAAGGGAATGGGAGAACACGTCAAATGGCCCTATCTTCTTCAGCTAGGGAGAATTAATGGATGGTTGCTAACTACTATATTCATCTGTTCATAGATGAACTAATTGAAAAAAATGTAAATTCGACTTCTGTTGCAGAATTTATGATAAAGTGATTACTATTGGGAACTAAGTTTTAAGCATAATGACGTGGCTTTAGGGGTACAACAGTGTTCTGATTGTATATATCTTTCTCATCAGCCATCCTGCCTCAAAGTCAGGAAACACAGGGGCCCTGGCTGTGTAATAAGAGTACACTTGAGAAGTACCTTGTCCTTATCTGACAACCCAGATGGAAGAATACCAGCCCTGAAGTTGCTTTTCTTAAAACTGTAAGTATTGTCACTTATGTTTTCTTGATCATCCTGGATCTGCCTTGAAATACTCTGTTTACCCAAGGCTTCCAAACTGATGGTGTCTTTTTCAAAAGCTGGCATGTGTGTGTGCTTCTCTTTTCTTTTTTCTCCAGGAGATTTGCCTT